ATATATATTTTCTTTTCAATAGATTATTCAGGAATATCATCTCTAATGCAATAGTAAAATTGATTCAATATTACTCGAGGATAAAACAACAATTTAGTTCAAACATCTATCATTATCCACCCCACATTTTAAGATTTGCATTGTCCTCAATCAAATATAAGAATTCAAGTGCAACTGAAACTTCCCTAAAAAGCAAAGAAATAAGCAAAGAGTTGTGGGAGGCAAAGCTAATCTGAGATTTAATTGAAGAAGAAACCTGATCAAAATTGATGTACAAGGAAATTTAACTCAATTCAAAGTGACAAGACGAATAGAATGATCAAAATAACATAATAAAGAAACAAAACCAATAACAAACAAAAGCAATGTAAAATCTGACAATAACATAGGTAAGAGATGTCTAACAACTAAGACTATCCTAATTTCAACTAAACTACTGCACTAGCATCACTTGAGTCTTCATCATCTGTACTAAAGAAGTGGTCAGAAGGAGATGGGGTTGGATGGAGGACTGTCGGTGCTGAGATACCGAAATGAGTGAACAGAGCAACAAAGTTGGCTTCGACTATGGATCCCAGTCTAGCCAAACGGTGAATGCAGTCTTGGTGGCTACTCCTCAAAGACCGTTAGGATGCAACAATCTGCTGCAGCTGATAGTGAATGGGGCTGGGATCTTAAGGAGGTGCAAAGGGACTGTCAACCTTGGATAGGTGAGAGGGGAGCTCATCAAAGGGGTCATCTTGGGCATCAGTGGGGGTATTGGCTGCTAGTTCAAAGTGCATGGCCTTCATTGTGTCGTGCAGGATAGGGGCCATGTGATTAACCAGTGTTAAATTAGAAACATTGTTCAGAATTCCTAATCCTTTAGCTAGACGAGTGACATATGGACCCGCACAAATACTCCCCACCCGATCATCATTGGCTTGAGAGAACAGAAATTTTGCTAGACAAATACTGAGGTGGATGGGGATCTTATCAATCATGCTACACAAGTATTTTAGGTCCTTTGTACCTGCAACCCCAAAACTGTGACCTCTCTTAGTAAGAGTGTGGGCTAACAGAGCATGTACATATCTCCAAGCCGGTTTCTTCAATATGGAGGCCTTGGATCGAGTAGGATTCCAATCCTTATCAACAGTGCTAATCCTTTTCCAAAAATCTTTATTGGAGCAACCCAAAAGAGAGATATGAGCTAGGTTTCAGTACTCTTTAGTGAGTACAAAATCAGAGGTGTAAAGCCTTATTCAAAAGAAAAATTCAGAATAACTCATCTTGTTCACGTTGTTCATCATCTGAAATTGAATGGAATCTTCAGAGTCCCAACCAGAAAATTTCTTTTCAACAACCAAAGTGGTGAGAAATTCCAATGTGAGTTCTCTACAAGTAGGCTCAATAATAGAAAACAGAACTTCCCAATGCCCTACTCCTACCAATTTCCTCACTTCGTCAACCAAATTATAATGTTGTAGAACGTCCCAATCAATAAATTTGCTCTGACCCCAAACCCTATTTTTCAGCTTATCATACCTTGTGAGGTGAGCAGGGGCGTTGAAGTAGAGCAGCTGGGATGAGGGAGGTTATGAGGGGTGCTCATTCTGGGAGAGAGAGCACTTCCTCACTGGTTCTTTGCCTCTTCTTGGCGCTCTTGATGAAGACCCATCAGCCATGGTGGTTGCAGAAAAAACTGGGCATAGAGAGAGAGGAGAAGGGGTTGCAAAATATTTTCTACATAGAGAGAAAAGAGAAAGGCGGAGTGTGGGGCGTTGAAATTTGAGGGTTGAGAGAGTGGAGAGGGTGACCCAGAACCAGAGAAGGGGGAGGGGTTTATAGAGAGGTAACACAGGAACATAGAGTTACAAAATGGGAAGGAGAAACAGGGGAGAAGGATGATTTAAATTCGTCACACCAGATACACGGCCGTGTATCTGGTCATGTAGATCACAACCCATGAAATTTTAAATTAGAGCGCGAAATTGGGCATGTACACGATTGGATACACGACCATGTATCTGACCGTGTATATCACTACACAAGAGAAAATAAAACTACATGGGCGTGTAACTGAGTGTGTACATCCCTGCCCAAACCTCGTCTAAGCAAAATAAAGGTACACGACCGTGTACATCATTGCCTAACAGAAATAACATGAAACAAAAGTACACGGCCATGTACATGACCGTGTATCTCACTGCTCTTATATGCAAATGAATGAAAAACTAAATTAAAATAACCTAACCTATTTAACCTAACTGTTCAAAGTAATTTAACATTCAACATGGAGGAGTTTGAACTCCTCATTCTCAAAAGTTTGAATTTGACCCCTCTGGTATAATTTTAGCCTATGTCCATTCACCTTAAAGTTTCCTTTTTCTGGATGAGTTAATTCAATTGTACCATAAGGGAATACTTCATGCATGGTAAGCGGTCCAAACCAATGGGATTTGAGTTTACTTGGGAATAATTTGAGACGAGAGTTGTATAACAGTACTAAATCACCTTTTTGAAATATTTTACCTCCCTTGATTTTCTTATCATGGTAGACTTTCATCCTCTCTTTGTATATCCTGGAATTTTCATAGGCTTCCATACGCCATTCTTCCAATTCATTCAATTGCATCAACCGCTTGTTACCTGCATGATCAAGATCCATATTCAGGGATTTAATTGCCCAAAATGCCTTATGTTCTAATTCAACTGGAAGATGACAAGCTTTACCAAACACAAGTCTATATGGGAGTTTTAAAAGTTGTCCTGATAGCCCACAAGGCATTATCTAATTTATCAGTCCAGTCCTTCCTATTCTTCTCTACTGTCTTTTCTAACATTCTTTTCAACTCCTTATTAGCTACTTCAACTTAGCCACTCGTTTGAGGGTGATATGGGGTAGCAATTCAATGGGTGACTTCATATTTATTCAAAAAAAATTCAAGTTATGTATTGCAAAAATGTGTACCCCTGTCACTAATTAAAGCTCTCGGTGTGCCAAATCGTGAAAACAGTTTTTTAAGGAACCTAGTGACTACTCTTGCATCATTGGTAGGTAAAGCTTGTGCCTCTACCCATTTGGACAAATAATCAATAGCCACTAAAATGTATTTATTCCCTTTTGAACTAGGAAAAGGTCCCATAAAATCTATCCCCCACACATAAAAAATTTCACGAGTTAGGATGTAATTCTGGGGCATTTCATTTCTTTGAGAGATATTACCTGACCTCTGGCAATTGTCACACAACTCAACATACCTATAAGCATCTTTAAAGATAGAAGGCCAGTAAAATCCATATTCTAGCACCTTTTTAGCCGTCCTACTCCCAGAATGATGACCTCCAGCAGGGCCAGTATGACAATGTCCTTCAATTTTCCATCCTTCAAAGTGTGATACACACCTTCTAATAACCTAGTCAGCACAAATTCGAAACAAATATGGATCCTCCCAAAAGTAGTATTTCAAATCGGAAAAGAATTTCTTCTTTTGTTGATTTGAAAACTCTTGTGGTAAAACCTTAGCAACCAAATAGTTAGCAAAATCTGCAAACCATGGTAAATAAAAATCAGAAGCAGTTACCACATTGTATAGATGTTCTTCTGGAAATTTGTCATTAATGCTCCTTTCGTCCAATTCCTCCATGCTGGGATTCTCCAACCTTGACAAGTGATCAACAGCCAAATTTTCTGAACCTTTTTTATCACTGATTTCCAAGTTGAATTCCTACAGTAACAAGACCCATCTCATTAGTCTAGGCTTTGCATAACTTTTGGTTAGCAAATTACGTAATGCAAAATGATCAGTATACACTATCACTTTAGAAAGAATTAAATATTGGCAAAATTTATCAAACGCAAACACCACAACCAATAATTCTTTCTCTGTTGTAGTGTAATTCTCTTGAGCAGTTGTTAGGGTCTTGCTGGCATAAGAAATAGGCTGAAAATGCTTGTCTTTTCTCTGGCCAAGTACAGTTCCCATAACATAGTCACTTACATCGCACATCAATTCAAATGGATAGTTCCAATCTGGACCACACAAAATAGGAGCTTGGGTCAGTTTTCCCTTTAGTAGCTCAAAAGCAATCAAACACTCCTCATCAAAAACAAAGGAATTTTCCTTTTCCAAAAGTCTGGTCAGAGGTTTGGTGATCTTGTAGAAATCCTTGATAAATCTCCTATAGAATCCCGCGTGGCCTAAGAAGCTCTGAACTGCCTTAACAGAAGTAGGAGGCGGTAGCTTTTTGATTATGTAAATCTTTGTCTTATCCACCTCAATTCCCTTACAGGAAACTTTATGACCAAGTACAATGTCCTCTTGCACCATAAAATAGCACTTCTCCCAATTAAGCACCGAATTAGTTTCTTCACATCTTTGAAGCACTTTTGACAAATTCTTTAGGCAATGAGAAAATGAGTTAACAAAGACTGAGAAGTCGTCTATGAATATCTCTAATATATCCTTTACCATCTCATAAAAAATGGCCATTATACACCACTGAAAAGTTGTCGGTGCATTGCATAGTTCGAACGGCATCCGACGATAAGCAAATGTTCCATATGAGCATGTGAAGGTAGTTTTCTCTTAATCTTCCGGTGCTATTGGAATTTGGAAGTATCCTAAGAGACCATCCAAGAAATAGTAAAATATATGGCCGAAAGACGCTCTTGGATTTGGTCAATGAATGGGAGAGGGAAGTGGTCTTTTCTTGTTGCATCATTCAGTTTCCGGTAGTCAATACAAACCCTCTATCTAGTGACAGTCCTAGTAGGCACCAACTTATCCTTCTAATTGGGCACCACAGTCATTCCCTCTTTCTTTGGAACGACTTGCATTGGGCTCACCCAAGGACTATCCGAGATGGGATAGATCATTCCGGTATCGAGTAACTTAATTACTTCCGCTTTCACCACTTTCTTCATGTTTGGGTTTAGCCTTCTTTGTGGTTGTACTACAGCCTTAAAATCAAACTCCATCAAAATCTTGTGAATGCAAAACAAGGACTAATCCCTCTTATGTCAAAGATCTTCCATCTCGAAGTACATTCAGCAGCTGGGCTTTTTGTTCTTGTGTTAAATCTGAAGCAATGATAATCGGTAACTTGCAACAATCTTCCAAAAAGGCGTACTCCAGATGTTCGGGTAGGACCTTCAATTCTACATCTGGTGGTTCATTAGTGGATGGGTTGGGCTGCTTCTCTAAATTCTGCTCTAGAACTTCAAATTTCTTCTTTCTCAATAATGGCGCAGTGGATTCTAGATGACACCACTGTTCTTGAGTTACCAGACTCATATCATCTTTTCCTTCTTCATAAACTAAGCTCTTTTCCAATGGATCTGAGATCAAGAATTCCTGTGCACAGTAAAAAACAAAGTCATCAATTACATTAATGAAGAAACAAGAATCATCTTGTTTTAAGTACTTTTTCATTACTTCAGGAATTTTGAAAGTGACTTTTTCATCCCTAACTCTTAAAATTAACTTTCCATCACTCACATCAATTATGACTTTTGCAGTAGCTAAAAAGGGAAGACCTAAGATCAAGGGGACTTCGGTGTCCTCATCCATATCAAGAATTACAAAATCAACAGGAAAAATCAAATTTTCCACTTTTACAAGCACGTCTTCGATGATATCCCTAGGGTATTGAACTGACCTATCAGCTAGTTGAATACTCATCCTAGTTAGCCTAGGTTCTCCCAAACCTATTTTCTTAAAAATATAATATGGCATCAAATTAATGCTAGCACATAAATCAGCCAAAGCCCTATCAACTATCAATCTACCAATGAGACAAGGAAGAGTAAAACTCCCTGGATCCTTCAATTTTTTGGGCATCTTGTTTTGCAGGATTGCTGAGCATTCTTCATTTAGAGTTACTGTGGCCAACTCCTCTAACTTCTTCTTGTTGGACAATAGATCCTTCAGAAATTTTGCGTATTTGGGCATCTGTGCCAAAACATCAACAAACGGTAAATTGATATGAAGTTGACGAAATAAAGACAGAAATTTACCAAACTGTTCATCATCCTTGTCCTTCTTCAATCTTGCTAGGTAGGGGAGTGGAGGTATGAATTCTTTCACTGCAGGGAGCTTTTCCATAGTCTCCTCTTGACATTTATCTTCCTCTTCAACTACAAGTTTTTCTACTTCTTGCTTCCCCTTCTCTTGCAATGTTTTGCCACTCCTTAATGTTACTACCTTGACCTGCTCCTTAGGATTAGTCTCAGTATTGTCAGGTAAGCTCCCTTGGGGTCTTTCTGAGAGGAGTCTAGAAATTTGACCCAACTGATTCTCTAGATTATGGATAGAGGCTTGTTGATTCCTTAGTGCTGTCTCAATGGATTGGAACCGAGATTTTGAAGTTTGAATGAATTTGTTCATCAACTCCTCAAGGTTTGACTTCTTTTTAGCTGAGGGCAGTGGTGGATGTGAAGCTTGTTGAAATCCTGAAAGTGTGTTGTTCCGGATTGGCTGTTGGTTGTTGTTCCATGGTGGGGTTGCATAATTCCTCCAGCTCGGATTATTCATGCCATTAAAATTTTGTTAAAGTGGTCTATTTCCTATCACATTGGCATGCTCTTCTTGAGTAGCTTGAAACTCATAATTAGGGTGGCCTCCTCCGCAAATATCACATCTCATCACCGGAGCAACTAGATGGTTAACAGATAAACCATCAATCTTCTTTCCTAAGGCTTCAACTTGCACTACCAATGATGTTACTGCATCAAGACTATAAATCCCAATAGATTTTGTAGGTTTGGATCGAGTGGAGCTCCATTGATAGCTGTTCATTGCCATTTCTTCAAACAGTTATTGTGCAGCCCTTGGTGTCTTGCTATTCAAAGTGCCCCAAGCTGCAACATCTATCATTTGTCTTGTGGCTGGGTTCAACCCATTGTAGAAGGTTTACACTTAAAGCCAGTCAGGAATCCCATGATGTGAGTACTTCCGTAGCAATTCCTTAAACCTCTCCCACGTATCATATAAAGTCTCTGACTCCAACTGGTAGAAGGAAGAGATATCATTCCATATCTTGGCAATTTTTGCAGGAGGAAAATATTTTGTTAAGAACTTTTCTGCCATGGCCTCCCATAAAGTGATGGATCCTCGTGGGAGAGAGTTTAACCACTGTTTTGCTCTGCTCCTGAGAGAAAATGGAAATAGCCTCAAGTGGATTGCATCATCAGTAGCTCCATTAACCTTGAAAGTATCACAAATCTCTAAAAAATTTGCAATGTGTGCATTGGGGTCTTCATCTTGTAACCCATCAAATTGGACATTGCTGAACCATCTGGATAACATTAGGCTTTATTTCAAAATTTCCCTGTACATCCGAACGAATAATGCTAGATTTTGTCCAGTTAATGATGGACAAGCATAATCGGATATGGTCCTTGGTTGCTCTTCATTGTTTGTCATTCCTTCCATATGGGTTTGTGCATTTTTTCTCTGTACTAGCAGTCGCCTCTCTTTTCGAATTTTTGCAAAGTTCTTTCTTTCCCTGGGTCAAATTCAAATAGTTCTTCAAACAGTGCAGCGAATGGATTCTGGTTATACACCAGAAAGATCAGCTCCTAAAGGAGAATGAAAGCAAAATAGAAAAGTTAATTCAAGACTAAAAAAATAAAGAAAATTCGTAAATACGTAATCAAGGGAGTCCTAATTAATCAGTTCCCGGCAACGGCACCAAAAACTTGGTGTGCAAAAATTGTTTACTAGACAAGTGTACCCATTGTCAAAGTAATATTGTGAAAAATAGAGTACCAAGTGTCATATCCACAGGGACTGTTATTAAGAATTACTTCCTTAATTACCCAATTGTTAATAAATATGAGAAAGAAATTGTGTTGATAAAATTGCTAAAATAAGATAATAATAAATTAGAAGAATAATAAATTAAAAGGAACAGATTTCTGATGATAATAAAATCTAGAAAAGTATGACTAAGTGTATTCAAGAGAAATAAGCGAGTATATAGATTGTAAATCCTCCTAAGTATCCAAATAACTGAGATTCTCCTTCAACTACTTAGTTCTAATCCCTTATCGTTGCAGGAATTTCTGAATTAAACCAATACCTTTCTCAAGGATAATGATTCCTAACCTTCGGTTGATCAATTGGAATCTCTTCCTTAATTAATACCCCTAGGTTGCATTAAGTTCATTATGAATTCCATAATTAGGGTTATTCCTAATACAGAAAACTTACGTCTTTCTATCTCTAGAAATACATTTAAGTTCTTTTAATTGAGTAATGTTAATTTCATGCAGGATTTTTACTCAAAATCAAACAAGAAAACAAGATAGGAGACAATTGATACTACTTAATTAAACCCAAGAGAAGAAAACATGAAATAGCATTAAAAAGAATTCCAGAAGGTTTGGTCACATAGGATTCATTACGTCTATATACTCAAAGGAAATTTAGAACCTAAACATGTAGAAACTACAATTACGAAAGAGAGAAATTAAAGAGTTTGATTCCATCCTCCAGCCGTTACTGACTTCTTCTTTCCCCAGAACTGCTCTCTAGGTTTTTGTGTCAAGTTCCCTTTTATATGAATCGTCCAAGGGCTCATCTTCTCGTGAAAGTTTAAATTCTGACGCACGTGAAAGTGCACACTCAAGTACACGGCCATGTACTTTGGCCGTGTACATCTCTGGTTTCTAACAATTATCTTTCAAAACTTTTCTGAAAAGTACACGCCCATGTACACGATCATGTACTTTGACTGTGTACATCTTTGGTTGAGATGATGACTTTTAATTGACGCGACTAGTGATATACACATTCATATACAGGGGCGTGTACATCTCTGGCTTGATTGTGTGCTTGATTTGTGTATCCAGTGAGATACACACTTATATATACAGGCGTGTACCTGGCCGTCTATATCTCTGGTTGTTTTCTTGCTTCAATTCCCAACATCTTTTAAACTTTCACTTCTTGATCCTTTTTCCTTAAATATGAATAAAATGAACTTAATAATAGTGAATTCTCTTATTGAATAGCTTAAAAGTCTCAATTATCATTTATGAATTATAATGTAGGATCAAGTATAGAAAACATTTATCAAAAAGCATTCATAAGACCTCACACTCATTTCCTAACTGATATCCTTAACTATATTTTTCCTATGAATGCCTAATAAAGCACATGTTGTATTCATGTGTGGTGGCTAATGGTGACTATCCATGCTAGCGTAAGTCCATCATAACTAGGAAAAGTATGTTGACAACGATTTAGGGGCCCGTGAGTATCTAGAGTACTTTTAGTTGGTAAATGATTCAAAATTGAAATAAGCAGAGTGACATAAGCTTAAATATTGAATGATTGTGTTGATTAAGTGAGAAACTGATTATGATGAATAAAGTAGAAATGGATTGTATTTGATTAAATGATAAATGGTGTGTGTGAATGTTCTCTCTTTAATTAGAATTATTTTATAAATTATTTCCATATTGATGCATGTTATACGAGATAATAATTTTTATATTATTTCAACTGTTTTAATTAAATGAAAGTTAGTGGAGTAAAAGGTACTCACATTTACTAATAATTTTTAAGTAATGAAAATGAAGGAATCATACTCGCAATGGATTATATGGAAGAGAACTGTTATGTTAGGATTAGTTTATTTTGAGAAATATAATAGTATTAGTTGAGTTTCTATTTAGAAATTTATTTTATTAAAAAATAGTTTTTTGTATCATGAACTTAAATGCATTGTATATATATAATGTGAAATTTTAATTTTCATTTTGACTATAAATTTAAGTTATGAAATATATTTTATTTTTATTAGGAATGAGATTTTATATGGATGATGAAGTTTTATGAAAATTTACTAATTTTTATTAATTTATATTTATACATATGTGTAACTTTTCAAAATTACCTAATCTTTTACAATTTTCATTGAGTTTTATTCAAAATTTTATGTATTAATAATTGACATCATTTAATATATAGTAAGAATGTTAGAATTTTTAGCTTATTCTAATAAGGTTAATCATCAAACTTTAAACAAAATTCATTGTTTTAGAAAGAGTTTATTGAATAAGTTCTTAAATAACTAATTATCTAAACTCATCATTAATAAAAAAAAAGTAACTTATTAAGTTATGGATTAGTGAAAAGGAAGATAAGACGATAAAGACTAAAATTAAACATTAAATGTGACTTGAAAATAATTCATAATTTAAATAAAAAAGAAGTATTTGATGAAGTATTGAGGCTTAAGAAATAAATAATAAATGTGACGTGAAAATAATTCAAAGTTAGAATGAAAAAAGGGAATAGATAATGACTTAGAAAAAATTGATGTGAGATGAAAATAGTGCTAATTAAGAAAGATGTGTTGGTGGAAGGAAATTCAAAATAATTCACAAATAGACAAGTTTTTATCTAGACAAAATAAGGGAAGGAAGAAAAATAAAAAAGAAAAGAGCTAATTAAAATAAGAATCTTTGTTGAAGTAAGAGAGGAAAGGAAATTAAAAATAAAAAATGAAAAATGAAAATATTTAAAATATAATAATTAATTGTTTTTATTATTTGTTAAGATGGATATTAAATTAACAATGCTAACATAAAAAGACTTTAAGGCATCATTTTTAAATTTTAATGAAGAAAATAATAGAAAATATTAGACAATTTGATGTGAATCATGAAAAATTGAAATGAATTTAACTTGAAATAAAGAAATGTGTGAAAAAAATGTTACATATTCCTATTTTATCTTAAAGTACTATTTGTAAAACCCTATTTTCATTGTTATAACCAAAATTATAAAATTTTAGGTGCTATTTGTTTTTCCTTTTAAATATAATTTTCAGTTTTTAAAATTAAAAATTTAAAAACTCCAAAGATGCAAAGAATTCAATTTTTATTAATGGCACTTTTATAAATTAAAATAAAAAAATAAAAAACAAATGAATGTTAGAATAGGGCTCTAGTACCATTGACATCCTCATAGCAAAGTTGACATCCTCAAATTGACACTCTCGTAGCACTGTCGACACCCTCACGGCTCTTAAACCACTCTCACAACACCATCAATCATCTCATGAGAATAGTGAAAAAAGGACAAATCATAGCATAAATTTGATAAGCACTCAGGTTTTTTTTTTCTTTTTTCATCTTGGATTTCTTTTCACCATTATTGGTTTTGATTTGGATTTGGATTCTTACTCACAACAAGTACCAACACATATGGAAAAAATAATTCAGGTTTGATTCTTTTCTTCCTACATTTTTTTACTCTTTTTCTTCTATTTTATAGTGAACTTTGTGTTTGAAAATGATGAGATAAAGGTAGTGTTATAGTGGGTGTTTGTATGACAAAAGTAGTGTATGATATTGGATGTTCATACACACACAGCAAGAGCTCTACCTCAAATCAGTTTTTAATGGCCACTGAAATGTCCAACAAAAATATAAGTGCTAGAGCATGTCTTGCCACGGTTGTTTTTAGTTACTTTATGTGCTATATGGTTAATTTTACCTTGCATGTGATACATTATCTAC